CGACAACGAGCGGCTGCGGCGCGACAACGGCGCCCTGCGCAGGAGACTGCAGGAACTGCAGGTGAGACACACCTGGGACAGGTGAGATACACTGAGAGAGGGGAGAGACACATGGGATACACCTGGGACACACCTGGGATACACCTGGGTTACACCTGGGATACACCTGGGTTACATCCTGGGATAGGTGAGATAACTGAGACAGGGACAGGGACAACGGCGCCCTGCGGTGGAGACTGCAGGAACTGCAGGTGAGACAGGTGAGATACACCTGGGTTACACCTGAGATACACCTGGGATACACCTGGGACAGGTGAGACACACCTGACATACCTGAGAGACAAGTGAGATACACCTGAGATAAGTGAGATACACCTGGGATACACCTGAGATAGGTGAGATACACCTGGGTTACACCTGGGATACACCTGGGATACACCTGAGATAGGTGAGATACACCTGGGTTACACCGGGGTTACACCAGGGTTACACCTGGGTTATACCGGGGATACACCTGGGTTACACCTGGGTTACACCTGGGATACACCTGGGATACATCTGGGATACACCTGGGTTACACCTGGGTTACACCTGGGATACACCGGGGTTACACCTGGGATACACCGGGGTTACACCTGGGATACACCTGGGATACACTGGGGTTACTCCAGGGTTACACCTGGGATACACCTGGGTTACACCTGGGACACACCTGGGATACACCTGGGTTACACCTGGGATACACCTGGGATACACCTGGGTTACACCTGGGATACACCTGGGATACACCTGGGATACTCTGGGGTTACACCTGGGATACACCTGGGTTACATCTGGGATACACCTGGGTTACACCTGGGATACACCTGGGATACACCGGGGTTACACCTGGGGTTACACCTGGGTTACACCTGGGTACATTGAGAACACACCTGGGTTACACACAGGTTACACACAGGTTGCACACAGGTTACACCTGGGTTACCCCTGGGACACACCTGGGTTACACACAGGTTACACACAGGTTACACACAGGTTACACCTGGGTTACACCTGGGTTACACCTGGGTTACACCTGGGATACACCTGGGTACATTGAGAACACACCTGGGTACACCTGGGTTACACACAGGTTACACCGGGGTTACACACAGGTTACACACAGGTTACCCACAGGTTACACCTGGGTTACACCTGGGTTACACACAGGTTACACCTGAGATACACCTGGG